TTTTTACGTGTCTGACCTTCTGCATGGATCCATTTTCCTCTCAGCTGAGGTTGGACAATAGAGTTATTTCTGTTCTATTCTATGCTAATAATCCCATTGGGTTGATCCAAACTGGCCACTTGATGTTTTTCTAATTTTGATAGAAGCCTCACAAGTGGACTCTTCAATTAGTTTGGCTGAGCAGAACATGAATAACAGAATGAAAACACATACAAACAGCCTTAGGTTCAGGAAGACTGACGTTACATCAAGATAAAATGACCATGAATTAGAAAAAAAAAACCTTTTCATCATGAATACACAGTTCAACCTAAAGTCACAGTAATTTTTTGGATTAGTCCTACATTTATACATCACCCGACCACATTATTATCTGACAACTACTACCTGTCTGATTGTTTGGCTTTAATTAAACAAATACAGGCTTAGTCATCAAAGATTAATAAGGAGCAATAAAATGTGTGAGGAAAACACAAAAATCCACCTGCAACAAGCAGGCGTGTTGCTGGTGATGTATAAGGATTGCTTGCTCAAAATATGGATGGTGAAAAGAGATTTGGTCTGCTCCGTTAAGATGAGCACATTGGATCTGCCACTGTCAGTTTACAACAAACAAAGTTAATAAAATAAAACAAAAAAACAGAGAATACTGAGTAAGAGAAAACCACCACATCCACAATGTGGAGTTTAGGCAAAAAGCCTCCAGCTGGAGGGAAAAGTCAGGATGTTTCTTCTTTAGGGCAACAACCTTATCAGTAAATGGTCACATTTAGGGCAAAGTTTCAGAAAAACTAAGGAGGATATTTACCCAGCCCAATATTTCACTGCATTTCAAGCTTTTAGATGCTCCGATTTACCCCAAAGATAGGATTCCCAAACGCTCCTAGACAGCCTATTGCTAAAGGATATACTCTGGCTTCTATTCTGGAAAAAACCACACATGCCCATGGGCATTACGGACAAGAAAGATGCTTCAGAGATGGGTTAAAGAAGTTCTACATGTTGAAACTGGAAAAACAATAAATAAATAAAAATAAAATAATATATATATATATATATATTAAACAGAGGATAAACAGAAGAAGTGGCTTACACTTTGTAGGGAAATCATATTTAAATGTCAAAACATTCTGGCTTTAACACGTATATAAATGTACTCTTTATCAGACGATATTGTCTTAAAATCTGTTGGTTCTTTTTGTTATTTTATGCAGGCCAGTTAAATATACGTCAGCCTGAACACCTAAATTCAACCAATCATATATCAACAGTCATCTGTCAATCAAATTTTTTCATTCATAACATCTTGATTCATATGTGTCCCTTTTATCTCCTCTTTCTTTTTTAATATTTTCTCCTTTTTTTCCTGTTTTTCCTTTCCTGTCTACTTACATTGCAGTGTCCATATAATCTGTAAAACTCCCTGCATGAATTATAATAAAGCTTTATATGCATCAAACAATCGGAACACTATGGCGATAATGTTTTCCTTTCCCAGTTTATATATATATATATATATATATATATATATATATATATATATGTATAACTGTCAACAATATTTTTAGTCGTTAGTGAGAAAGGCATTGCATAAAACATTCAAGCCAACACTAATACCTTAGGACCAGTCTCTAATAAAACAGAAAAACTAAGTAAATGTAATTTAGCTTCTGATCAAGATTTAAGTTTTTCACAGAAAGCGTTTTTAAGACTCGAAAAACTCATTTAAAGAGACTTTCTCTGAAAACCAAATTAAAAAAACAAAAACGGATCCCTTGTTAATGCGAAATACTGCTTTAAAAACCTAAAAATAAATCAGATTTCAGAGTAAGAATTCTATCAGTTAAAATGCAACTAAAACAGATTACTAACAAGTACATGAATATAACAGACGTCAGGAAGCAGGAAATTATTTTTTTCATGTCATTTTTTTTTCAGCCTGTAACATTTCTGAATGATTTGAACTTTTAATTGTTAGCAAATTAGTACAGTTAGTACTACTTGGGCATGAATCCCTTTAGTATATATATATATAGTATATAATACTATTTTTTAAAAACAAAAATTGTTTGCGGTGGAGCTCGTCTCATTTTGCATTTGTAGAAAAACATCAATCATTCTGAGCTGAACTGTAGGATTAGAAGTAACTGAAACTCTTTAATGAAACGATGAAGCAGAGGAAGGGAGGAAAATCCTTCCCTGACAGAATTTATAACAGCAGTTAAAGCCCAGGTGTTGACATATAAAATCTGTCATCCTCTGACAGAAGCATGTTGATTCATCGCCTTGACATTGGAGTTATCATGAGCATCATCACAGGGTTCTGCAGGATGACCCTAATGCACCAAATGTAAGATTAAAAGCTCCCAATGTTTTTCAGCTGCAGGCAAATTCTCTTTTTGTCTCTTATCTATATATTGACCTTGCTCAATGCACCCCCCCTCCCCCCACCCCTTGGAACAGATGACATGAGATAGTGTAAGGTCGGGATAATTGCATCAATTTGACAGAAAATAGACAAAGCCATACTTCCATGAGAGGCAGGTTAAGCTTACTTGTCTGCTGAAAACGACATCAGTTTAGCATCTCTTGACCTGATCGCCAACAGCAGCGCTGCGGCCTGCCGCTCCCACCATACGGTAATTAGTGCTCGCCGTGTTGTGCCGCTTCTGGAGGATCCATGCTCAGACATGTCTGTGCAAGACGTTGCGTCAGATAGTGGCGTATGCAACCGCAAGGTCACAGTTCAGCCGAACTCAATTTGGTTTGGCAAATTGACAAGCAAGCAAATTTGAGGAAAATTGAGAAAGCGGACAGCTTGATTTAAGGCCAGTCATTCTTTTAAAGCTAAAATCAAGGGGACATTCAAAGGTCCTTGGAGCTACACTCTACAATATCCTCTAAGTGTTGCAGGGGTGAAAGGAACACCTTCTCTAACCACATTATAATCCTGAGGCCCATTAGTCAATGACAGAGTACAGTTGTGCTGCTGTCATTTTATCAATGCAGCCATACATCTTCATGGGCTCTTGTATAATAATGCTCACCACAGCACTGGAACACCACATAGGCAAAAAGACTGAATTTTCCTGATCTGACCTAGCCGTCATACGCATGGAAAGGGTTTTTCACTTAAGGCTGTAATTTCTAATTTGCTTTAGAGTAAAGTGGCCGGCACTGAGACAAGCCTACATCACAATTTGATTAGACGAAGCCCAGTGTGAGTTAAGCAGCACGAGTCAAGGCGAGGCCCGTCCTCCCTCTACAGTAGAACAACCTAAATCAGGTCAGGTTGCTTAATTGTAGACCAATCAACCTTTACTAATGTAATGTCACTTTTATTTAACATGAATAAATGAGAAATCTCTTGGCTGGAGGAGCGTGCTGAGTGAGAGGCAGCGGCGGAGCCGGCGTGGGCATGATAGGAATGAACCGTTTGATCTGCTGAATATTAATGCTCCTACAAGATTATAGGGATTATTAGTTCTTTTCTCGGCTGACAATGGGGTTATTTTCAGAAGCCATCGATTAAATTGCTGAGGGAATTGCTTTTGACATGAGCCAACATGAGGGGCTACTTTTGGAGTCAGACTGGCTCTAATTGGAAGCCACTCCTCAATCACTTTATGTTATTAGTTCTCAAATCGCATGAGAGATTCAGATGAGGATACAATTTAAGGCTTTATTTCCAGTCTCACATCATTCGGTTCTACTGGTGAACCTCTGAATGCCTAAAAGGGTTACAGTAGGAATATCACCTCTGCTATAAATCAGCTGTTTATGTAGAAACCTTTATTAGCAATAAAATAAGCTCATCTTTCACACATCCTCGGATGTTTCTCACATCCCTCATGGAAATGTGGACCAAATTCCTTCAAAGAGTTGAAATCCTTTTAATAAACGTCCCTCTGATGTTACCAGAACAGCATTGCTGGTACATTGCCAACATTTGCCAATGGATTGAGGATTTTTACTCTTAAAATAAGAAAGTTAGATAATATGCACTTGAAATAAGACATTTTTTATATTTTTTTAAATGTAAATTGTCATTTATCAGTTTCAAAATGTCTCACCTGCTCAATTCAAGAAAAAAACTAAAACACTTATTTTTAGAAAAATTAACATTGCACTGCAAAAATATAAATATAAAAGTCGTTTTTTTTTAAGTGCATTTTTGTCTTAAATTGAGGAGGTAAGTGAGACACTTTGCCAATGGAACAAGACAATTTACATATAAGTTAAGCAAAAAAAGTATCTGCATTGTCTTATTTAAAGTGCATTTTATCTAAACATCTCATTTTTAAATAGTAATTTAAAAAAAAATCTAATTTCATCATCCTATTTCCCTGCTTTTTTACTTAATTTAAAACATGTTGACTTATTTCTACATTGTTTTGCAGTGTGAGACTTTATTTTGTTGACTGGGTTCTTACCGTTCCCTGATTCTGCTCCTTTTCTGACATCGTTAACCTCTAAAAATCACCAAATTAGTCTAAGATTCAGCTGTTAGACAAATGGCGTCACATTTTTTACTATTCTGTCTTTAGCCACGCAGGTAGGATTAAGGTAGGTAGCTGCAGAGCGGAGAGGTCCCATGGCTGGAACCAAACATAGCATGTCTGACATTTTGTAGATGATCTTCAGCTGATGATGCTTTTCACCAGAATGCGACCATTTAGTTCCTTTCACCTCACTGGACGCAGTGTAACGTTGTTTGGTCTAATTTTGGCACGGCGCAGCATAAAATGAAGTCTTTTCCTGGTGAAAACAGAACTGTGATTGCTTTTACACCACAACTGTAATGTTTCCAATGTTAGTAAGAATCTCATTCATTTCATGAACTAAATTAGAAACCAGATCTTTGTTAAAATGAAGTGATTGCTTTCAACATGCTAACCCATGTTTTGTCTTTATTTTTCCCCAGATGGATTCTTTCACGTGACAGACCGTTGTTGATGCGACTGAACATGTGTTTGTGTTTTTTCTGTTGATCACCACAGGTTTAGTCCCTACGAGTGGTATAACCCCCACCCCTGCAACCCTGACTCTGATGTAGTGGAAAACAATTTCACCCTGCTTAATAGTTTCTGGTTCGGAGTTGGAGCTCTCATGCAGCAAGGTAGACGCCTCTGCCTGCTCCTTTTTTTCTAGCACAAGTCCCACTTTTTTGCTGGGGGTCAAGCATTGTGTTTGCCCAGGCCTGTGACCATGCATGGGGGCCTCTGTGCATGTAGGTAGATGCCTCAGAGGTTGTCCAGCAAAATGGATTGCGTAGATTGGAAGTGATGCATACAATGAGTCTGTATGGTGCTGCTGCATGCTTCCATCTCCATTTGGTTTAGATTTCTCTCCCCACCTATCCTCAGCCTCATGGTCAGGTAGGTACACAAGCCAGAGTATTAGAGTATCTCAGCGATGAGAGAACAAGATGGCAAATTATTTAACGTACAAAAATGAGAATTAAATCAGTAAATACAGAACTAAATAGACATATATTTGAATGTTAAAAATTTGTACTGTTCTGTATATGTATGGGACTGTTATGCTGTGTTCACACCTGGTGCGTTCCGGACATCAAAGCATCAGGTTTACATGTAAAGTCTATGAGGGGACTTTACAAAATTGAACTTTTGCTGACACTACCAGCAAGCTGTCATCGCTGCTGCAAACATTCTGCAAATGAAGAATAAATCAAAGCTGGAAGGATGGATTGTTAAAACCTGCCGACAAAAAATACTGGATTGTATATTCCGGTACTTGCAGTTTTTACTACAAACGTTAAAGGAAAAGTTCGGTCATATTCAGAATTCAAACTTCTGAAAGTTCTTTAAATCTGAAATGATTCCATCCTGTTCAATAAATGATCAGTGTTTTTAATTCAGAGTCATTTTCATGTGAATGTGCTTTACTGGAGGCATCCATGTTTGTCAAAGAACACTACTGCCACCTACTGGTTAG